AGCACAGGTAGATGACAAGGCTTGACCGGCGGCGGCTCTCACGAACAAGAAAAAAAAAAACCTAAACAAACGTGAAAACAATAAAATAAAGAGGCGGAGAGATTATTTTTTACCTTTGGCTGAGGGAAGGTGACTTGGTAGAAAATAATACCCTAGAGGCAAACTTATTTATACCTGGAGAATTTCTGAAAATCACTTTGTTTCTGGGAAAAATTCCAGCAGGCCTCAAGGCCCACTAACGCAACAAGACCATCAGTTTTGTCAGGCTTCTAAGTAAAAAACAAAAAAAAAAGTCCAGGAAAACACGCTGACATCGGCTCAACGCGGAATAACAGAAACTTCCAGAGTTCGATGACTGTCCACGCCTGGTAACTTCACCATCCAACATATCAATTTCAGATTTCAACAACTTTTACCTCGGCATCGTCTTAACTCGATACAGCCAAGCTGGGGGGCTAACTCAAGGCCCATTAGCGAAACAAGACTATCAACTTTGTTAGGCTTCGAAGTAAAAGAATGGGCAACAACGAGAAGTCCAGGAAAACACGGTGACATCAACTCAATACGGAATAGCGGAAACTTCCCGAGTTTGATGATAAGACGTTCACGCCTGRGACTTCGCAGTCCAACATATCGATCTCAGATTTCAACAACTTTTACCTCGGCATCATCTTAACTCGATACTGCCAAGCTGGGGGGCTAACTGTAGGGGTCYGATTTCACCCCTATGAGATCGATATAACGACAAGATCAAGTGGGCAGCATCCTAACGAAATCGGAGCAAGTCTACAAAGGCCTAGTCTGAATCTAGGCCCAAAATGACATTAAACCCATTAACAAAAATGGGGCTTAATGGAGTAATGGGCCTAATTTTAATATATTGCTTATTGGGCCAAGCCCATTTATTAGCTGGCCCATTTTACTTAGAAGTACTATATATAGTTCATTATCATCTCCCAAAAAGGGGATTGATTTTTGTAACCAGAGCTTAACATAAACAGCAATAAAACATATCTTCAACTTTTGCTTTGTGATTCATACTCAGAAGACTCAGCTCTTTTTTCAACCCTTGACAAATTCAACTGTGTAGGATCCGCCGTCCACACCGACCATGTTGCCTGCTGTATTAGACTCCCGGACTCAGCTGCAAAGCCTCAAATGCTTTTCAAGTTTAATCAGCACTTACTACAGCATCATGATTTCTTATCAATTGTAGAGGAAGCTTGGAGAGGCTTCACTGTGGTTGGGACCCCAATGCAGCAAGTGAGTAAACGGTTGAAACTCCTTAAACATATTTTGAAAGAGTTGGATCACTCTGCTTACTCAAACATTCAGAAAAGAACATCATAAATGCTTGTTAAGCTACATCAATCTCAGCAAATGATGCTTTCTTATCCATCTACTGAAGAAGCAGAGATCGAATTCTTGGCTTTGAAAAGATGGAGAGAATTGGCAAAGGCGAAGGAAACCTTTCTGAGGCAAAAATCCAGGATAAAATGGCTCAAGGTGGGAGATCAAAACACAAGGTTTTTTTACAGATGTGCGGCAGCTAGAAGAGCTAGAAACCGGCTATCTCAAATCCTTCTTGCTAACGGGTCGAGGAGTACTGATTTGGAGCAAATCAAATCTAGATGTGTAGAATTCTACAAGGAGCTCCTAGGCCCATCTGTAAGTCGAAAACCATCCTTAGTTGCTGCTATCAAATCTGTTCATCCATTCAGATGTAGTGACATCCAAAAGCAGGGGTTGGAAAGGCAATTTACTCTTGAGGAAATAAAAAAAG